GCAGTGGGTGCAGTGGGGTAGTGGGTGTAGTGGGTGCAGTGGGTGCAGTGGGTGCAGTGGGTGCAGTGGGTGCAGTGGGTGCAGTGTTGTGTAGTGGGTGCAGTGGGTGCAGTGGGTGCAGTGGGTGTAGTGGGTGCAGTGGGTGTAGTGGGTGCAGTGGGTGCAGTGGGTGTAGTGGGTGCAGTGGGTGCAGTGGGTGCAGTGGGTGCAGTGGGTGCAGTGGGTGCAGTGGGTGCAGTGGGTGCAGTGGGTGCAGTGGGTGCAGTTGTGGGTGCAGTGGGTGCAGTGGGTGCAGTGGGTGCAGTGGGTGCAGTGGGTGTAGTGGGGTGCAGTGGGTGTGTGGGTGCAGTGGGTGCAGTGGGTGCAGTGGGTGTAGTGGGTGCAGTGGGTGTAGTGGGTGCAGTGGGTGTAGTGGGTGCAGTGGGTGTAGTGGTGTGCAGTGGGTGCAGTGGGTGTAGTGGGTGCAGTGGGTGCAGTGGGTGCAGTGGGTGTTGTTTGGGCAGTGGGTGTCAGTGGGTGCAGTGGGTGTTGGTGTGTGTAGTGGGTGCAGTGGGTGTAGTGGGTGTAGTGGGTGCAGTGGGTGCAGTGGGTGCAGTGGGTGTAGTGGGTGTAGTGGGTGCAGTGGGTGCAGTGGGCGCAGTGGGTGTAGTGGGTGTAGTGGGTGCAGTGGGTGCAGTGGGTGCAGTGGGTGCAGTGGGTGCAGTGGGTGTAGGTGGGTGCAGTGGGTGTAGTGGGTGCAGTGGGTGGTGCAGTGGGTGCAGTGGGTGTAGTGGGTGCAGTGGGTGCAGTGGGTGCAGTGGGTGTAGTGGGTGCAGTGGGTGTAGTGGGTGCAGTGGGTGCAGTGGTGTGTAGTGGGTGCAGTGGGTGCAGTGGGTGCAGTGGGTGCAGTGGGTGCAGTGGGTGCAGTGGGTGTAGTGGGTGTAGTGGGTGCAGTGGGTGTAGTGGGTGTAGTGGGTGCAGTGGGTGCAGTGGGTGCAGTGGGTGTAGTGGGTGTAGTGGGTGCAGTGGGTGCAGTGGCGCAGTGGGTGTAGTGGGTGTAGTGGGTGCAGTGGGTGCAGTGGGTGCAGTGGGTGCAGTGGGTGCAGTGGGTGTAGTGGGTGTAGTGGGTGCAGTGGGTGCAGTGGGTGCAGTGGGTGCAGTGGGTGTAGTGGGTGCAGTGGGTGCAGAGTGGGTGCGCAGTGGGTGCAGTGGGTGCAGTGGGTGCAGTGGGTGTAGTTGGGTGTAGTGGGTGCAGTGGGTGTAGTGGGTGTAGTGGGTGCAGTGGGTGCAGTGGGTGCAGTGGGTGTAGTGGGTGTAGTGGGTGCAGTGGGTGCAGTGGGCGCAGTGGGTGTAGTGGGTGTAGTGGGTGCAGTGGGTGCAGTGGGTGCAGTGGGTGCAGTGGGTGCAGTGGGTGTAGTGGGTGTAGTGGGTGCAGTGGGTGCAGTGGGTGCAGTGGGTGCAGTGGGTGCAGTGGGTGTAGTGGGTGTAGTGGGTGCAGTGGGTGCAGTGGGTGCAGTGGGTGTAGTGGGTGCAGTGGGTGCAGTGGGTGCAGTGGGTGCAGTGGGTTGCAGTGGTTGGCAGTGGGTGCAGTGGGTGCAGTGGGTGTAGTGGGTGTAGTGGGTGTAGTGGGTGCAGTGGGTGCAGTGGGTGCAGTGGTGCAGTGGGTGCAGTGGGTGTAGTGGGTGTAGTGGGTGCAGTGGGTGCAGTGGGTGCAGTGGGTGCAGTGGGTGCAGTGGGTGCAGTGGGTGCAGTGGGTGCAGTGGGTGCAGTGGGTGCAGTGGGTGCAGTGGGTGCAGTGGGTGCAGTGGGTGCAGTGGGTGCAGTGGGTGCAGTGGGTGTAGTGGGTGCAGTGGGTGTAGTGGGTGCAGTGGGTGCAGTGGGTGCAGTGGGTGTAGTGGGTGCAGTGGGTGCAGTGGGTGTAGTGGGTGTGTAGTGGGTGCAGTGGGTGCAGTGGGTGTAGTGGGTGTAGTGGGTGCAGTGGTGTGGCAGTGGGTGTAGTGGGTGTAGTGGGTGCAGTGGGTGCAGTGGGTGCAGTGGGTGCAGTGGGTGCAGTGGGTGCAGTGGGTGTAGTGGGTGGCAGTGGGTGCAGTGGGTGTAGTGGGTGTAGTGGGTGCAGTGGGTGTAGTGGGTGCAGTGGGTGCAGTGGGTGTAGTGGGTGCAGTGGGTGCAGTGGGTGCAGTGGGTGCAGTGGGTGCAGTGGGTGCAGTGGGTGCAGTGGGTGCAGTGGGTGCAGTGGGTGCAGTGGGTGCAGTGGGTGCAGAGGGTGCAGTGGGTGCAGTGGGTGCAGTGGGTGTAGTGGGTGCAGTGGGTGTAGTGGGTGCAGTGGGTGCAGTGGGTGCAGTGGGTGTAGTGGGTGCAGTGGGTGTAGTGGGTGCAGTGGGTGTAGTGGGTGCAGTGGGTGTAGTGGGTGCAGTGGGTGCAGTGGGTGTAGTGGGTGCAGTGGGTGCAGTGGGTGCAGTGGGTGCAGTGGGTGGCAGTGGGCGCAGTGGGTGTAGTGGGTGTAGTGGGTGCAGTGGGTGCAGTGGGTGCAGTGGGTGCAGTGGGTGCAGTGGGTGTAGTGGGTGTAGTGGGTGCAGTGGGTGCAGTGGGTGCAGTGGGTGCAGTGGGTGCAGAGGGTGGCAGTGGGTGCAGTGGGTGCAGTGGGTGTAGTGGGTGCAGTGGGTGTAGTGGGTGCAGTGGGTGCAGTGGGTGCAGTGGGTGTAGTGGGTGCAGTGGGTGTAGTGGGTGCAGTGGGTGTAGTGGGTGCAGTGGGTGTAGTGGGTGCAGTGGGTGCAGTGGGTGTAGTGGGTGCAGTGGGTGCAGTGGGTGCAGTGGGTGCAGTGGGTGTAGTGGGTGCAGTGGGGGGTGCAGTGGGTGTAGTGGGTGCAGTGGGTGCAGTGGGTGCAGTGGGGTGCAGTGGGTGCAGTGGGTGCAGTGGGTGGTGCAGTGGGTGCAGTGGGTGTAGTGGGTGTAGTGGGTGTAGTGGGTGCAGTGGGTGCAGTGGGTGCAGTGGGTGCAGTGGGTGCAGTGGGTGTAGTGGTGTGTGTGTGCAGTGGGTGCAGTGGGTGCAGTGGGTGCAGTGGGTGCAGTGGGTGCAGTGGGTGCAGTGGGTTGCAGTGGGTGCAGTGGGTGCAGTGGGTGCAGTGGGTGCAGTGGGTGCAGAGGGTGCAGTGGGTGCAGTGGGTGCAGTGGGTGTAGTGGGTGCAGTGGGTGTAGTGGGTGCAGTGGGTGCAGTGGGTGCAGTGGGTGTAGTGGGTGCAGTGGGTGCAGTGGGTGTAGTGGGTGTAGTGGGTGCAGTGGGTGTAGTGGGTGCAGTGGGTGCAGTGGGTGTAGTGGGTGCAGTGGGTGCAGTGGGTGCAGTGGGTGCAGTGGGTGTAGTGGGTGCAGTGGGTGCAGTGGGTGTAGTGGGTGTAGTGGGTGCAGTGGGTGTAGTGGGTGCAGTGGGTGCAGTGGGTGCAGTGGGTGTAGTGGTGGCAGTGGGTGCAGTGGGTGTAGTGGGTGTAGTGGGTGCAGTGGGTGTAGTGGGTGCAGTGGGTGCAGTGGGTGTAGTGGGTGCAGTGGGTGCAGTGGGTGCAGTGGGTGCAGTGGGTGCAGTGGGTGCAGTGGGTGTAGTGGGTGTAGTGGGTGTAGTGGGTGTGGGTGCAGTGGGTGCAGTGGGCGCAGTGGGCGCAGTGGGCGCAGTGGGCGCAGTGGGCGCAGTGGGCGCAGTGGGCGCAGTGGGCGCAGTGGGCGCAGTGGGCGCAGTGGGCGCAGTGGGCCGCAGTGGGCGCACAAAGAGAAAATGCGCATGGGAAGGAATGAGAGCTTGTTCCTCCTCACTATCCTTTCTCCTCCTCGGAACTGTCCGTCCTTACCTTTCCCCCATCGTGCAGCTCCCTGCATCGCCCCGCACCTCGCCTCCACCTCTTTCTCTCCCCTGCTCTCATTGCTCTCTCGCGCTCTCCTCCTGCTCTGCTCTCCCCCCTTTCTGTCCCCCTCACCTCGTCCCCGTACCCCGTGCGCCTTGAGTGCGCGCACCACCAGTTGCTCTGAAGTTTCGTTCACCACGTTGTTCACCACCCACACGCGCCGGCACCCGCCAGCCGCCTCGGCTCGTGCTGTAACGCGTACAGCGTGTTCTCGTACAGCTGCCCGTCGCACTGCAACGGCGGGATATCGTTGCCGATCATGCGGTAGAGGATGAATCGCGGGCGGGGATTGCGGAATGCTGCCCGGTACAGCCACGTCACCGTCCCCGTCACCGTCACTGCTCATCGTTCTTGAGGCGCCACGTGCCAGGTTCTGCGAAGCCGGCGTCCCAGTCGTCGCCAAACACGTGGCGAGCACACCAGCAGGAATGCGCCCACGCCGTTCACCGCAAGGCGTCGCACGAACTCCCCCGCTTGGCCCGCCGCGAAGACCGCGAGGCGCATGCCGTAACGGTCTGAGCAGAGCGCGGAGGAGTGGGCGGCCGGAGTGGTTGCCGGGGGCATGGCGGGAATGGCGGATTGAGGCCGTCCGTTGAGTCGAGAGGGAAGGCGAGGCGACGGGATCGAGATCATACTCAAACGGTGTCACCCCCTGGTAGTACTGTCGCTTCGCTTTAGAGCTACCTGAATTTGATTTAAAGCAACACACGCAGAGTGCAATTGAGCGGAAATTTGTAGAAGCTAAAACCAACAAGAATCCGTATGAAGACTTAAAAAGATTGTTGTGTACAAAAATAGAAAATCTTGTTTTATCAATTTTATTTCATAATTAATCTATATTCCCCTCCAGTATTCTTTCTGTGGTAATTTTGCAAGCGCGGTTGTTGATGAGATTTGCGCCATCTCATTCCGCCTTCAGTAGCCGTGTAATGTTCCGTTTCTCCTAACATTTCACGAATTTGGTCATAACGCAGATGATGGGAAAATGGCACCCTTCGATGATTGCGTGTGGAGGACCCTGTGACATGCTCTTGTGACAAAAAGAGGCGATACTAAAAGAGCAAAATCCTTGCCCTGAAATTACCTCCTTTCAATGCACACCACCTGCTTCCATGGCGCCTCCGCCACTCATTCATGCTTCCTGCCGGACTCCCGCTAAATTCCTTCCTTGCCTTCCCCTTCGCGTCCCTGCAGCTTCCCCGCGCGGACGGCGCATCACAACAGCTGGGGGATCCCTCCGCTTGCCCGTTGCCGCTGCCGCCGTCACCGCTCACCGCCGCTGCAACGCCTTCCCCTCGCCAACAGCAGTCGCGCTGTCCGCCGCGCGACCTCTCGCTTCTCCGGCGACCCCGCGGGCCGTTCGCGCCCGCGCCGCATCCGCGCGCCTCTCGTCGCCCTTCACCCGCGCCCCGTCCTCTCTCCGCTTCACCAAGCGCGCGTGCCAGCAGCTCTCCAACCCCCACCTCTTCCCCGTTCCTTCACCTTCGTTACTCAATTCCTCCCGCCGAACCTCCCGCGTCAGCAGGTCTGGCCGCGTCTTGCGGCCCGGCCGCGCACGCGCTCTCCTCGCCCCCCTTGCTCGCCGCCATCGGCGTTTTCCTTCGCTGCCGTCCTCGCCGCGCTTCCGGCTGCCCTGACGGCCGTCTTCGCCGCGCTGCCGGCTGCCCTGACGGCCGTTTCCGCCGCTACAACCGCCGTCGCATCGAACGCGACAGTCTCGTCGGTAGCACTCCCGCTGCTACAGCTTCTGGCGGGCGTGGGGGGCGCAGTAGGAGTGGTCACTCTGGGACTCATCTGGACCGTACTGGACCGTTTGTTCTGCCTTATCCTTCTCCTCAACTTCGCCGCGGGTCTTTTTAAGCATCGCGCGGGACTCGTACCGGCTGAGCCACGCGCGCCGCCGCAGCCTGCAGGACCCAACGCTCGTGACGATATGGGCCGCGGAGCGCGACGAGCGCGACGCGGACGACGGGATCAGTGAGGGCATGGCAGCGAGTGCGAGGAGGATTTTTCTAGACACAGGCGACCCGCGGTTTGACTGGTTCGTGCCGGGGGTGGTGAGCCTGATCCCCGGAGTGAACGGCGCGGCATGGGTGCTGGCATCATGGCACTCGTCGCCCTTCCTCTCTCGCGGCCTCAAGAGACACCTCGCCTTAAACGCTGCTGTCTACGGGCTGCCTGGCCTTGCTCCCTCCTGATCTTCGCCCTCGGCGTCCCCTCCCCCACCTCCCTGCTCCTCTCCCCGTTCTCCTCCCTCGCCTCGGCCATCCTCTCGCCGTTCAGCCAATCAGCGGCTGCCACTGCAGCAGGATCAGCAGCAGCGGCGGCAGCAGGGGGGGTGACGGTGGTGGGGTACGGGAGCAGCAGTGCGTGGTGGGTGAGTGTGGTGCTGGGGGCGGTTGCAGCTGCAGCTGGAGCGAGTGCGGGCTGTGAGCATGCAGGAGAGCCGGCAGGTGCTCAGAGCGTTTGGGCGTGGGCTCAAGAGAACGAGGGAGAGGCGACTAGGACAGAGGAAATGGATGGACTGGGGAGTGGAGGAGGAGGAGGAGACGGAGGAGGAGGAGGGGGTTGATAGGGAACGGGAGGGGCGGTATATGGCGAGAATGGGAGGTTGGAGGGAGTAAGTGCGGCCATGGGAGGGGCTTCTGGAGGTGGGCGAGCAGGGGGTGCTGGCAAGGATGGGAATGCTCCAAGGGGTAGCAGCGGCAATATCATCAGCAGCAGCAGCAGCAGGGGAGGTGGGGACATGTGGATGGAGGCAGAGGAGCGCAGGCGCCTGCAGGAGTTTGATGCGAAGCTCATGGGGAGGCCTCTGCAGCAAATGGGTATGCCGTTGCCTAGCAGCCATGCACAGAGTGGTGATAGCGGTGACAGTGGTGACAGTGGTTAGGCATGCTCCCAGTGTGGAATGTGTGCTGCCTGCCGTGGGGCAACTAGTGAGGCGCCTCAAAAGGCTGTCACGGGGCACACCGGGCATGTAAGCAGGGTGCTCCATGTGCCATTCCTCACCATCGTTTCTCTGCAAGTGTACGAGTGACCTCTCACCTCTTTTGTTCCTTCTCCTCCTGCTGCCTCTTTGCTGCATCACCAGGGCCTCCAGCAGCATGGACAACGGATGACGTGGCAACATGGCTCACAGCAGAGGGCTTTGCCTGCTATGCACAGGCCTTCCTTCGCCATGCTGTCTGTGGCCAGGTGCCTTACCTTCCTTGTCGGTCTGTGCTGCCCTGCGCTTTGCTCCGCCTTGGTCCCTTTCCTAGAAGCAACCTTCTGGATGCATTGCGCCATCTTTGCTCCTGTATCTCCCTTCCCCATCCGCCACATTTTCAATAACGCCATCCGTCCTTTCGGTCGTCTCTCCTCCGCGTGTGTGGTGCATGTGTGCATGTGTACATGTATGCACGCGTGCATGTGTGCATGTGTACATGTGTGCATGTGTACATGTGTGCATGTGTACATGTGTGCATGTGTACATGTGTGCATGTGTACATGTGTGCATGGCGGCATGTGGTGCTGGCAGGTGCTGTTGGAGCTGACAGCAGAGGACCTGAGGGATGACTTGGGGGTGCGCACGCTAGGCGACAGGAAGAGGCTGCTCGCAGCCATTGCACAGCTCAGACTGTGGTTTGGCACAGGGCAATCGTGAGCGCATGCAGGCGTGCCTGCACAAGCTCACTCGGAGGTACCGGCAGGTAGCAGTTATTCTATACTTACCGGTACCTAGGTGATCCGGTTGGTTAGTAGGATATTAGGGATTACGGTAGCGTCGTTGCTGTAGTTCCCCGAAGCATTAATTGTGCATTTTCGACTAGCTGTAGTGTCAAATGTTGTAGCCTTAGTGAGGTTTGTCTTAGGGGGTACAGATGTTAGGGTTTGTTATATGTACCCCAACCCACATCAATGAACCAACACTTTCATTCTTAACATGGTATCACCTAGGTTAGGATCCTGTGGGATCCCGTTCCTCTCGTTCACGTCCGTAGCGCCCGAGCCTGTCCCGTACCCTAGTGCCCGTTACGCTCGTACTGTGCCCTAGCGCCTATCGCGCCTGCCGTTACGTCGCTCTCGTGCCCTCGCGCCCGCTGCGCCTGCCGTTACGTCCCTCTCGTGCCCTAGCGCCCGCTGCGCCTGCCGTTACGTCCCTCTCGTGCCCTAGCGCCCGCTGCGCCTGCCGTTACGTCCCTCTCGTGCCCTAGCGCCCGCTGCGCCTGCAGTACGTCCCTCTCGTGCCCTAGCGCCCGCTGCGCCGTCCGTCCGCGCCACGCTGCCCGTCCCGCGTCGCGCCTTCAGTCTCGTCCCGTCCGTCCGCGTCGCGCTGCCTGTCCGCGTCGCACCTTCAGTCCCGTCCCGTCCGTCCGCGTCGCGCCGTCCCGTCCCGTCCCGTCCCGTCCCGTCCCGTCCGTCCGTCCCGTCCGTCCGCGTCGCGCCGTCCGTCCCGTCCCGTCCCGTCCCGTCCCGTCCGTCCGTCCCGTCCGTCCGTCCCGTCCCGTCCCGTCCCGTCCGTCCGTCCGTCCCGTCCGTCCGTCCGTCCCGTCCCGTCCGTCCGTCCCGTCCGTCCGTCCCGTCCCGTCCTGTCCCGTCCGTCCGTCCCGTCCGTCCGTCCCGTTCCGTCCCGTCCCGTCCCCGTCCGTCCGTCCCGTCCGTCCGTCCCGTCCCGTTCCGTCCGTCCCGTCCAGTCGCGTCGCGCTGCCCGTCCGCGTCGCGCAGTCCGTCCCGTCCCGTCGCGTCGCGTCGTGTCGCGCTGCCCGTCCTGTCCCGCTGCGTCGCGTCGCGCTACCCCTGCCCGTGGCGCTGCGCCCTCCTAGTCCAGCAGTGTTGCGCCCTACCCTATGTCCCGTAGCGCCCTACTGAGTCATTCTCACTGATTAGGGTTTCAGCAGCAGAACTTCCTACCACTTTGCTTTTGCTATGGCGACCCCTAGGGTTCTTCGTTTTGACGCTGACGGTAGACCGCTCGAGTTTCGGGTCTGACTCCTACGCGCGCGTCGCCTTCTAGAGAGTCAGGTCCAGGCGGGCGAGTCCCTCTGGGCGCACGCTACTGGCGACCCTTCCTGCGCCCGACGACCCTACGCCTTTAGGCCCTGCCCCTGACGACGCCGCCAGAGACCGCTTTACCCCGCTTTACCCGCCAGCGTGCTGACCTGACGGCGTGGAAGTCGCGTGACGCTGCGGCCTGCATCGCTCTTAGCAGCCTCCTCCCTGAGTCTGAGGAGACCCACTTCACTCAGGTTCGCACTGCTAGTGAGTTCCTGACTGCGATCAAGGCCCGCTACGCTACTCCCACCACTGTCTCCCTTGGCCGCCTCTTCCTACCGTTCTTGTTCCCTGACCTCGCCTCGTTGAGCGCTCGGCTGACTTGATTGCTCACCTCCGCTCGCTCGATTCTAGCTACCGCGCAGCTTGCACTGACGCACAGCTTGCACTGCTTCCCCCTCCTATGGCGATTACTATCTACTTCATTGCCACTAGCCTCCCTGACCGCCTTGCCTCGGTTCGTGACACGCTTCTTCTGAAGCACCCTAGTGAGCTCACTATCGAGGTCCTTGAGTCTGCGCTCAAGGACGTTGAGAGCAACCTCCGCTCTGTAGCCTCCGCCTCTGGTGCTGTGCCCCCTCCACTGTTCCACGGGTGCACTGTCCCTCAGCTGCCCACCTTTACAGCCTCTCTCGCCACTGCTGCTACTGACGTGACCGCAGCTGCTGTTACGACTTCTTCGCGGTCTCGAGGTAGAGGTGGCAAGAGGGGCGGTCAGGGTACAGGTGGCGGCGGCGGTGGAGGCGTTGGCGGCGGAGGTGGTGGGGGTGGCGTGCCGACTGGTGGTGGCGGGAGTGCAGGACCAGGAGAGGCGTCGCGTGCAGCGGCCGGTGACTCCGCTACTGCAGCCGGTGGAGGCGAAGCCCGGGCTCGTCAGCCACCTTCTGGTCTGCCGGCCGCGGCGGGTGGAGCAGCGGCGTGGTACCTGGCCCAGCGGCAGCAGCAGCTTCAGCAGCAGCCCCTCCCCTTGCAGCAGCCCCCGCAGCAGCAGCGGCAGCAGCAGGTTACGGGGCCAGGACAGCGTCAGCCTCAGCGAGGTGTTGTTCACCCTTCGTGCACCTATTAGGTTCTGACAGGTGCTCGCCGAGGCCAGCCTTGTGGCCGCACCCACCCTCCTGGTCAGTGCTTTGCTCAGCTCACTGACACGGTTCGCTTGGACTTCGGCGTTGGCGGCCCTGCCCCTGACTGGTTACCTCTTGTTCAGACGTATGGCTCCGCTCTTTGGGGCATGTCTGCTTCTCAGTTGCTTGATCTCTTAGGAACTCCTCATGATATGTATGCTGTTGTTGACTCTAGTGCTTCTGACTCTGTTTACTCGAGTGTTGTTAGCTTAGGTGCTAGTCTTGCTGAGTTGCCTGTTGCTAGTGTAGGCACTTGTGTAGACACTAGTCCAGGCGCTACTTCGGAGGACGCTTCGCTGTCTTTCACTCTGGACTCTGGGGCTTCGCACTGCTTCTTCCGCGACCACACGACACTTACTCCACTTCCTGCGCCAGTCTCTGTGGCCCTGGCTGATCCCACCTCGGGACCAGTCACTGCTCGCTACACTACTACTCTTCCTTGCCCTGCTGTTCCCTCTGGGTCTCTGACTGGCTTCCACGTCCCCTCGTTCTCAAGGAACTTGGTGGGCGTGAGGCCTCTTGTGAGTCAGCATGTGGGTGTGTGGATTGAGCCCTCTGGTGAGACGGCGGTTTGTGTTGACGGTGACACTTACTCGCCTCTTGCCACCTTTACTTCCGAGCCGGGCTCTGGTCTCTACACACTTCACACTGGCCCTGGTGAGCAGCAGCAGCAGCAGCAGCAGCAGCAGCAGCAGCGGCAGCACCAGCAGCAACAACAGCAGCAGCAGCAGCAGCAGCGGCAGCAGCGACTCCTGCCCCCGGCCCTGGTTACTTCCCCCAGTCTGGTCCCTGCGTCTCACCAGGTTGCTGCGTCCCCCCAGGTAGCTGTGTCTGGTCAGGTTCCCGTGTCCCCGCCAGTTGCTGCGTCGTGCTCCTGCCGGTCGCTTGCACACCCCACCGTTCTGTGGCACCACCGGACGGGGCACCGTCCCTCCCTCGTCTGCGCGCTATGTCTTGTCAGCGTCTTGTCTTAGGCCTCCCGTGTGTCTTGCCGTCGCTGCCGCCTTCGCTTGCACTGCCGTGCGGTCCCTGCGTCGAGGGTCGGCTGCGCGCCACCCCTCACTCCTCCTCCCTTCGTCCGGCCACCAAGCCTTTTGAGACGCTCCACTTGGACGTCTGGGGCCCCGCCCCTCGCCTTGGCCCTGAGCGCGAGCGTTTCTTTCTGGTGGTCGTTGACGACTACTCCCGCTACACCACAGTGTTCCCCCTGGCGAAGAAGTCTGAGGTGACTTCTACGCTGATCAGGTGGTTGCTTACCACTGAGGGCACTCGTGGTCGTCGTGTCAGCTGTCTTCACTCTGACCGTGGGGGTGAGTTTCGCTCCGGCATTCTCGCTGGATTCTGTCGCGAGCAGGGCATTCGTCAGTCCTAGACGCTTCCAGAGTCCCCACAGCAGAATGGGGTTGCTGAGCGCCGCATAGGCTTGGTCATGGAGATCGCCCGCACCTCCTTGACTCACGCCCGTGCCCCCCATTTTCTGTGGCCCTACGCGGTTAGGTACGCCGCTCACCAGCTGAACCTCTGGCCACGTGTCTCTCGGCCAGAGGCTTCACCGACCAGTCTTTGGACCGGGTCCCCTGATGTTGCGTCGAGGTTTCGTGTCTGGGGTTGCTTGGCTCTTGTCCGCGACACTTCCGCGGACAAGCTCTCGCCTCACGCCGTTCCCTGTGTCTTCCTCGGTTTCCCTGAGGACTCCTCAGACTTCACCTTTTACCACCCTCCCTCTCACCGGTTCTTTGACTCTCGTGACGTCCGTTTCGAGGAGTCCACCCCCTACTACGTCAGGTACCCCAGTCGAGGTCTCCCGGTTCCTCCTCCCCCTCTCTTCCTGACTTCCGCTCCCCCTCCTGCTCCCCCGGTACAGCCTCCCCCCCCTGGTCCCGCCCCGTCAGGTGTGTCCCAGGCTACCCCTCCCCCCTCGGTCGCCCCTCAGGTGCAGCCTCCTTCCCCGCAGTCCTCCTCGCAGCCTGCTGCAGTCCCTGTGGGAGCCGGTGCTCGTGGAGAGGGCCCTACTGGTGCTAGCTCTGGGGGTGCTGGAGTTGGAGCTGAGCCCGTGGTTGTAGGATACTCTTGTCTTCCGGGAGCTGGTGTTGGTCCTGCTGACTTTGGGGGTGCTACGTCTGGGGGTACGGGTGCACCCTCTTCGGGTCCTGGTGAGCCTGGTCGTGTTGCTGTTGGTGGTGCTGACTCTGGGGGTGGTGCGCCAGGTGCTTTGGAGGGCGGTCCCGGGGCTGCCGCAGCCCCCCATACTACTCCTCCCCCCCACCCCTACCCGACCCGGCACCAGGCTCGTGTTCGCCGTGCCCGTGAGGAGCAGCTGGAGTTGGAGAGAGAGGAGAGAGAGTTGCAGCGGCTGGAGGAGCAGCAGCAGCAGCAGGAGCAGCTGCAGCAGCCGCGGCTGGAGCCGCCGCAGCAGCAGGAGGCGCAGCAGCAGCCGCCGCGGCAGCAGCAGCAGCAGCCGCCGTCGCCGCCGCAGCAGCAGCAGCAGCAG